TACTATGTGGCAATGCAACTTTACTCTGGAAACACCAGTGGAGTTTTTAACATTGACGTATTCGATGAAAACCTGCAACAGTTAAAGTTTGCTGCGTTCAGGAAAATTGATCGCGGTAGAGGTACAGTAAAGTTTCTTGTTGTGTTTTTTTTTAAAGTTACGAATTGGATAAAAACTGCCTGTCATGTCGGTGATGGATCCAGCCAGAACCTGTAGGGGTGCCTACCATCGTATCAAGACAAGATACTGTGTAGATTTTTTTGAAGGAGCAAGCGCCTTTCACTTCTGATATCATAGGTTCGATTTCTGCTGCGGATTCATGTGGAAAGAGTCGGTCAACGCTGTACCGAAAGTCGTTGGTTTTCTCCAGTGGCGAAACCAGCCATGGCAACTGGTCATGCTATGCTAGTAAATTTGCACCTAAATAGGTTCAAGACAATACATTTCTAAAGCCCTGGGCAAACTAGGAAATATTGTTGCGGAAACATTGTTTCTTGCCAATGTTTCCCAGAGTGGGCAAACACTAGGAAACATTAGTGAGGAACATAGGGAAACATCAAATGTTTTTGAATTTGGTAGGAAACATTTTTGCTTCTCGGGAAGCAAATTTTGTTTCCGCAACAATGTTTCCACGGGTGGGCAAACAGGGAAACATTTCAGGAAACATCGAGAATCACAAATGTTTCCACAACAATGTTTCCTAGTTTGCCTAATTTTTAAAAATTTGCATAGCATGACCTGTTGCTATGGCCAGCTTCGCCACTGGTTTTCTTTGACCCGCCGCGGCTGTGCTTTGTGATTAGACATGAATCAGAAAGAGGCTGTCAGAGTCGCCCTTAGAAAGCCCTCAGATAAAGTTAACCTCTTGTAGTAACACTGGATCACTGGATAATCTCTTACTGGACCTCTAGGAAGAACAGTTTAGAACTGATAGAGCTATCCAGTATAGATAAGGTTAATTTAGTTTAACTTCCTCCCTGTAGTAACACCGGATTAATGAGAGATGACTCTTACTGGATCTCTAGGAAGAACAGTTTAGAACCGATAGAACTATCCAGTATAAATAAAGTTAGTTTAGTACAGGTTTTTTCTTGTAGTAACATCGGAGCAATAAGGGATGTTCCTTACTGGACCTCTAGGAAGAACAGTTCAATATAAATAAAGTAAATTTAGTCTGTAGGTTTCCTCCTGTAGTAACACTGGATTAATAAGAGATGACTCTTACTGGATCTCTGGGAAGAACAATTTAGAATTGATAGAGCTATGCAGTATAGATAAAGTTAATTTAGAAGTTTTACTATTGTCCAAAAATTGTTACCTGAACGAGATGTTTTTTTATTGTTTATAGTGTGTAAGATTTTCTTCAAAAACCTTCAAAATAAGAAATCGATTAATAGTGATGGATTTTGGAGTATCACCAGTGTCTTTAAACAAAGACTGACTGACAACCGAGAAGGAAGACTCTATATTGGAGAAGAAGCTGCGATATTTCGTTTATTTGTTCCCGGGTTGTATAGTTCTAACCTTGAAACGATATCGTTTCAATTACATGGTCATCCTCAAGTTTTCTTACGATATCGAGCTGATGGCGGGGTGTACCTGGACAGGAGTAATGGAAGTCTGGAGTTTAGTAAGTGCAAAAATTGTAGCTAAGTTGACTGTCTGTCTTGCCTCATGGCCTGCGTGCTAGTGTTACTGTGGCTACGTAAATGACCTTTGCACTATATGATCTTTCGCCCAAACAACTAACCAACCAGATTGGTGCTGGTATTGGTGCAATAAGACGAGTATTGTTGACGACACTGAAAATGCTATACAATGCCGTCGTGCCACCTAAAAGAATCTTATCGACTAAATATTGAAACAGGTGGCACATACAACCAAAGAAATACAGAAACTGATTTATCTCTTCCTAAGCTGAAGAAAGAATTTGGAAAAAGGTGCTTCCTGTAAAACGATTTTGAAACAAAACGATGAGTTGAAGCCGACTCGTTTATTTTTTTGTCTTGTTGTATCATGTTGTACTGTAAATTGTCACTCATTCACACGCTTTTCATGGAAACCAGATAACAGCTGATTAGGCTAGCGTATTAAAATAAAGTCTATGTATGTTATGTATACTAACGAGCTAATTGACTAACAACTATAACTAATTGACTGACTGACTGACTATCTAGCTCGCTAACTAGGCGGCGACTTAATCAGTGACGCTTTGCCAAATATTTGTCCCAAAATTACAACAAAAATTGCCTCGTTTAACTGACTGTAAGCAACTTATTTACTGAACTAATTCATGCACTTACTAGCATACTTGTTTAACAAACTGACTGACTTATTGACTATAACTAAATAGTTATATAGCTATATGCTAAGTACAGAAAAACTAATGTTAGGATTCTCTCCACTTTAGACATGTCTGCATCATTCAAAGTTTTGAAATCAAACCATTCGGATTTCTTTTATTTGAGATCCACAGTCTCATCTGGACTAAATATCTCGCTTAATAATTCGAGTGAATTGTCTATGTTACCGAGTGGAAGCGAATTTCAACTTGTCTTTCCAGGTAAATTGCATTAGTTGCATTGTTTGTTTGGCCAGCACAAGTTGCATTTGGGAAAGGATTTTGTAGTTATCTGTATATTACCACATATTCAAAATTTTATCAGCATATTATTGTGTTGATTTAGACAACATTGAAAGCTTTGAAGTCGACATTGGCTTTACCCAACGTAGTTGGGCCGTTACCACGAGCCTTTTCAGTCTTGATGGTCTTGGCCCAGAGATTCTGTTCTCTAGTCCTCCAAATGACACAACCACAGTGACTAATATTCTACCCTATACCTTGAACACTTCTCCCAATACGTTGTATCGAATCCAAGGGTACTGGCGTCCATATTTTAATGGCTGGTACAATTTCTCCGTGAACTGTGATTTGCAATACGAACTTATTGTTGAACAAGACGATCGCACAGTGAAGTTCTGTAATGGCGCAGAAATATGGTATGTTATTGATATAGAATCTATAGCTGGATATAGACCCATTGCACTGACGTCACAAATTCTTAGAGTGTCCTCCAGATGCTCCCTAACAATATCCGTGTTTGGGTACAATAACCACATACAGCGCAAAAATTAACCATTTTAATACAAACTTATTATAAAGTTTTACAAAATTTGCTTTGTTTACAAAAGTTATATTATGCATAGATTGCTCATTTGTCCTCCAGATGCATCGTCACCTGCGCTGTGACGTCATGTGCAATGGGCCTATATACGGACTCATGTGAAAGAGTCTGTGAGCGATCTTCCGAAAGTCGATTCGGTTTTCTCCCACAGGGAAAGTTGACAGAGTGGGGTTAGGATAAACAGAGATAGACATAGTCATGATAGTAATAGCACAATACACCCTTTCGATAATTACGTCATTTGGCCTGGGAGCCTCGCTCTTATGAATCGTGAGCCAATCACCTTGCGTAATTTACTAATGAGATCGAGGCTCCAAGACCAAGTATGTGTGACGTAATTATCGAAAGGGTGTATTGTTGTCAAAATAGATAGTCTAGGCTAAGTAGATAATATAAGCGTAATACTTGATGTAACCGGTCACTGAAAAGCGCCGATGGGGAGTTATAATATGTTGAATAATATATGTATACTCAAAGGTCCAGTAAGGGTAATCTATTATTGCTCAAGTGTTACTACAGGAGGAAACCTCACACTTTATTTATGTTGAATATTCTAAACTGTTCTCCCCATCCTTTATTGGTTCGTGTTGCTACAGGAGGATACCTAAACCAAACATGTCCTATTCATACTGGATAGCTCTATCAGTTCTTAACTGCTTCCCCTAAATTGCAAGTAACGATTAAAAGAGAGCTGGAAGACATAGACAAAACCTGTGAGCACTCTTCTTGCATACCAATGAAACCAAATTATGACGATAGAGGCGAAAGATACATACAATAACCAATGTGCCACTAATGCAGTCGCAGCAGAAAGCTGGACTACCCTAATGAGTCAATCTCCCGATGAGGGGCCTTCGCTCGAAACGTCGAGGTTTTCCTTGTATTTTTCAGGTAGTTGAATCCCTACCAATCCGCAATTTTCTGGGGTTATTGTCACTTCCTACGCTGGCAGAAACTGTTCACGTTTATAATACAGTCGCATTCACTGGAACAATAGTACTATCATATTAACTTCTCGATTTGTTTTGTAGCGAGCCAGTGTTTCTTGATGGTGGACCACGATACGCATATTACTATGTGGAAATACAAGTTTACTCTGGAAACACAAGTGGAGTTTTTAACATTGACGTATTCGATGAAACCCTGCAACAATTAAAGTTTGCTGAGTTCAAGAAAATTGATCGCGATAAAGGTACAGCAAAGATTCTTGTTGTATTGTTGTTTTGAAGTTACGAATTGGATAAAAACTGGCTTTCATGTCAGGGAGAGAGGGGGCGAGGGTAGGGGTGCTTACCGTCGTATCAAGACAATATACTGTGCAGATTTTCTTGAAGGAGCAAGGACTCATCAGGACACTTACGTGTAAGGAGTCGGTCAACGCTCTGCAGAAAGTCGTTGATTTTCTGCAGTAGCGTTAGCTAGCCATGGCAACTGATCATGCTAGTTAATAAACCTGCACCTAAATAGGTTGAAGACTTAGATATCTTATATACACTAGATAGCGCATCTCTTTTAGGAAAATTGAAGCCAAGAATATTCCAGCGGTTACACCCATTTGAATAGATGGCGGCCATGTTGGAGTTCCCACTCGCTAATAAACGCTTAAAAAACAACAATAACTTTCATCATTTGAATAGTTTGAAAATGTTTTTGGAATAGGTTTAACTTAATGTTTAAGTTCCCTGTTTAAGAAATAGAAAACATACGAGTCTTCTCATTTCATGGGAATATCTTGAGTCTGCAATCACGGCTTCAATTTTTGTATTGCAGAATAATTAGATGCACTATCTAGTGTATATAAGATATCTATGGTTTAATCCAACACATTTCTAAAAATTTGAATAATGCAAGTCATTAACAATTTTCATAGCATGACCTGTTGCTATGGCTAGCTTCGCCACTGGTTTTCTCTGATCCATTGACGCCACCGTAGCTGTGCTTTGTGACCAGACATCAATCATAAGGTGGCTGCCAGAGCCGCCCTTGGATAGCCTTAACTCCATCAGGTTGAGCTGCGTTCTTCACAATGGACAACTTGCATGTTAGACTAAATTTTAATCTAAGTAAAGAGAAGGGAATAAAACACAACAGTCAAAAAGAAAATAATGAAATTAGTAAAATTTCAAAATTTGGTTGCGAAATGTTGTAAAATACAGAAAATATAGCCTTGCGAAGTTTGCATATTTTCAGTATATTTGTATTACGTGCGGAAATTGTTACCATTTTCAGCTCAAAAATGGTAACAATTTCCGCACGTAATACAAACATACTGAAAATATGCAAACTTCGCAAGGCTATCGTTTCTGTATTTTACAACATTTCGTAACCAAATTTTGCAATTTTACTGATTTTAATAAGTTCTTTACGCAATTTACTTTTTTTGCCTAAATCAAAAATTAGTCTATTAAACATGCAAGTTGTCTATTCAGCTTTGGTCTCAGCTGCAATTAAGGATGACTAACACACTCTTATTTACTCTTTTTTCTCATGAATTATTAATGAGAAAAAAAGCAACAAACTTCTCCCTTTTACCACCAAACTGAGAAACTTTCTTTCAAGATCTTTCATTCGGCCATATTAACTGTTTATTCCTCTATTTTATCATAGCGACACATCATTGGAAATTCGATAACCAATGCAACACGTCGTGCTGGGATGAACTGAAGTTGTCCTCGTTGGATATGCATTCAAAAGATAAATTGATAGCGAGGCGTCTTATTTTATATCCTGAAAATTTCATGCCCGAGAGTGAAGCTGGTTTCTCTGTTGGTTTCTGGTTTAGCAAACGTAAACCTGAAAAAAGAGGCGAGTATTGTCTTTAATATATTCATCAGTGTTTTTCTATGTAGTATGCAGTAAAGTACTCCATTTTTACATATTTTCCGCAGCCTGCTAATGGCAAATGGCTGGCGAAATATGAAATGTTAAAATATTATTCACATTTGGGAAACAAGGCTAGGAAACAATGTTTCCTGGTTTGTTCACGTTTGGGAAACATGGTTAGGTAACAATGCTTCCTGGTCTGTCCACCTTTAGGAAACATGGCTGGGGAACAATGTTTCCTGGATTGTCCACCTTCGAAAAAATGGCTAGGAAACAATGTTTCCTGGTTTGCCAACCTTTGACAAACATGGCTAGGAAACAATGTTTCTTGGTTTGTCCACCTTCGAGAAACATGGTTAGGAAACAATGTTTCCTGGTTTGTCCACCTTTGGGAAACATGGCTAGGAAACAATGTTTCTTGGTTGGCTCATCTTTGGAAAACACATCTACAAAACGCCTAGTTTTTTCAAAAGATTTATTTGTACTCAAGATTTTACGATTACCCATACTAAAAAGTCTTATTCTTTTTTTCTTCAGTAATATTATCATATGGCACAGATTTTGGCATTTGGCTTCAGAACTCGACAACTAATATAACAACGAATCTTACAAATCTTGGTTTTCGTGTGGGAGACAAACTTTACAATCTTTCAACGTTGGAGCAAGTTTTCCACGTCGTGTTTACACTGTCGGGCACGAATGTACCAGGTTGTTATATAAATGGAAAACACGTGAACTGTGCAAGCAATCCTGTAACAGACTTTCCCCCAAGAGAGAGAAAGTTATTTGTCACAAATCCTGTCACTCAATATTTTAGCATCGCTGAATTGTTTTTGTGGTCAAGTGAAATGACGCCTGAGCAAGTTCTAGACATATATCAAGGTACTTTATTCATGTTTTGGTTATTTTGTTACATGTCTCTATTGTTTTCTCATGTCTTTATTGTTTTATTTCTATATATTTAGTTCGAACAGGCCTACACACGTAAAACGCACAAGTTGTAGCAAACCCGAGTCAGACTTGTAGCAATGCTGTTCCAACAACTTGTTGACAACTTGCTGGGAGGTTGTTGAGCTCAACAGACTTGTTCCAAGTTGTTCCTTTCTATCCTTTCTTTCTTATACTTCCCTTCCCTACTTTAATTCACGTTGAAATTGTTCTTTCATTTTCACAACAGTCCCTTGTAAAGTCTACCAATCGAGTTGTCGCTGGAAAAATATCCACAGCTATCCTGACCAATGGCTGCTTCAGAGTGGACCAACTCCTTCGTATCCATTTACTGGTCCTCGAACTAGTCTGGGTAAGTCTTGTCATGAAAACAGGGTATTGGCTTTTAAGTGTATGAATGGAATTGTACCAGAATATTTGAGTTCGCAATTTACTGCAATAGGAGCAGTAAGCGGAAGAATAACCATGTGAAAAGTCCCTAATTAATTATTCGATGTTTGAAAATGCGTTTTTAACAGTTTATAATTCGAAAACTATTTCAGAAATCAAAAAATTGTCTAAACGTCTTATATGCAGTTTTTATAAGCTTTCTGATGATGCAAGTCATATTTGTTGTAATTGAATACGAAATTTCACATTTTTTGGCTGTAATAGAATTCAATAGAAGAAAATCACTAATCACCCGTTTTCAGGACTTAGCAGCAAAATAGCGATGGCCCCACTTCAAATATCTGTTAAGCAAATAAAACTATATCAATTGTAAAAGTTTGATGCTTTTAACCTCAACGGGAACTACTGATCAATAATTTTACACATATCCCCCTCACTAGGGGGACCATATTCATATGTTCGTGTTCTGCATTATTAATTTCTTTTGAAATCGATTGTTTTTACGGTCTGTGAACACGAATATATGAATATACTTACACTTATCGATCTTTCGACGCCTATGCTCCAATTCGGACTATCACTAAAATTATCTGTGGTTTTTTTCCACAGATTATTATTACTACATAGATGGTTCATTAATGGATTATAACTCCTCTGCAATTCTACACTCTCCAAAGTTCTTGTCAGTGTACGAGTGTTTGAGATTCCAGTACTACATGTACGGAATGGCAATTGGTAAGCTGTCAGTATATGCTGAATACGAGAGTCACACTGATGCTTTGTGGTCCTTACATGGAGCTCAACAAACAAGGGATTCAAAGTGGAAGACGGCATCAGTTAGCATTCCTTCTCTTGATAAACGTGCTTGGAGAACGGTATGGTATTATATATGTGTGGTTAGTTTTTAATTACTGTACAAATTTTCAGACAATTTGGTTTAGTTTAAGCCCCTTAACTATTGACGCAAAATTACATTTTTCCTAAAAATCAGCTATTTGCATGCTTAATTAATGCATTTGCCTAATTTGCATATGTCAGCAATATGCAAATTAGGTAAAGGCATTAATAAGGCTGACTTTTTAGAACAAAATGAATAGTTAAAGGGCTTAAACTAAACCAAATTGTCTGAAATTTTGTACAGTAATTAAAAACCCGACAAAGTTTCCATCCATTAACTCAAAATATGATTACAGCTTTTAAATTTTGTGCGCGAGCCATTTTTAGTTTGTTGGAAAAGACACACCCCCTGGTTCACAAAATTTGAGTTCGAGAAATTTTTTTCATTATTTTACATTATAAGTACCCATTATAAGTAGATTGAATGCATGTGATTGGTTAATCGGGTAGATTGAAATTGAATGCATGTGATTGGTTAATCGGGTAGATTGAATGCATCTGATTGGTTAATCGGGTAGATTGGATGCATCTGATTGGTTAATCGGGTAGATTGGATGCATCTGATTGGTTAATCGGGTAGATTGAATGCATCTGATTGGTTAATGGTAGCGGAAGTGGAAGTCAAAATCTAAACCTCCCTATAGATTATATACCGAATGTCCAAAGAGGTGGGCAATGCATCCCTCCTGTTTTCTCCCCTCTCCCCTAGTTTTGATTACCTCCAGTATAGTAGGACTTTATTGATAAGTGGTTTAGTTTAGGTTACTTTAGTTTAATTTAATTTAAAGTGATTGTGACGTTAGGCTTGAACTAATGTCACACACACGAAACCGAGGCTCTATAGCCAAAGTGACCTACTTTCCACAAGGGTGTATACAGCGCCATTGTGAATTGGATCTATGTCTGGCGTACGTATTATATGCGAAGTGCATATTTTTGATATTGCCTTTTCTGTAGATTGCATTCCGTGCCGTTCGCGGTGAGAATTTTCGCAGTGATATTGCAATAGATAACATAAAATTACAAGTGGAAGGATGTGAGACAACGCCACAAAGAGCTGTTCCTGGAGTATTGAACAATGGTGAGTGAGAAATGGCTAAAGTAACTGGAATTTAGTGTAATTATAGTATACTGACAGCTATTTCAAAATTAATGAATTTGCATAGCGATTCCCAGCAGCCTTTCGCGCTCGCATTCGACTTTTCCGCTTTGCTCGGGGACAACCTTAATTGAAATAGCTATATATGATGATAGTAGTGGTAGAATGTAAGACAGTTGAATAGTTAGTTAATTAGTTAAATGGTTAGCTAGGTAGCTAAGTTAACTAATTTGTTCGTTTATTAGATAGCTAGTTTGTTAGTTACTTTGTTACTGACTTTGTTAAATAAAGTTCGTCAGTTAGTTTTAGATGAATGAGTTTACTTTTTTGTTAGCAAGTTGTTTTTTTTGTTGTTGTTTTTTGTTGTTTTTTTGTGTGTTTTTTTTTTAGTTTTACAATAATAAATTGAAGGCACAGACAACAGGACTAATAAAGTCCCAAATTAAGTCCTGCCATAAAGTTAATTACCTAGTTAGCCAGTTAATTAGTTAATTAGTTAGATAATTAGATGTAGTTACAGTGTTAGTTACTAATTAGGTGTTAGTTACTAATTAGTTAGTTACTAATTAGTTACTAATTAGTTAGTTAGTTACAGTAAGTTAGAAATGAAATTCACTTTTATACTATTGTTCTTTCAGTAAACTCGTGTCCATCTTCATGCCCAAATGGTTACCCCTGTATAAAATCTATTAAAGGGACTGACACATGTGTATGTGACACCAGACAGGCGAACTTTCTTAACCAGTCGTGTATGGATGGTACGTTGTAAATTTCTTTTGTATTTAACAATTTGCTGTACAACAATTTGCTGTTTTTTGTATTTAACAATTTGCTGTTTAACAATGTCCAATTTGCTGTTCTCTGTTGTAAGTGTGTGGAAAACATTACATGGGAACTTCAAAACAATGAATTTTAGACAATTGAAGATTTCGATCAATGGGTCGTAACTGGATGGACCCATTCATACAAAACGATGTTTGTTAGGCGATCATATATTAAACTTTTCCATGCGTATATTGGTGGTTTGCAATCAATCCTTTGAAATTTATAAGACAAAGATACAGTGGCCATGTTTGGAGGAAAACTCGCTCCAAATACAATAGCTGCGAAAACGCACACGTAGCATAAAGAACGCATGACTGTGAAGCAGCCATACGTATAGAGTAATGAGGGACTGTTTATATGGAAGCCGTGCTGGCCTGCTTAACTTAAAAATTAGCTCGCGGCGGCATCTTTGAACTTCCATCCCGGCAACCTGGATAGTGAGTGTTTATATGGAGAAATGTTCATCGCGGTAAGCGAAATCTCGCCTCGCGGTAAGCGAGATATCGGCTCGTTTCTCCATATAAACGCACGGTAATTTTTACTATAAAAATAACTACACACCGAGATCCCGCTTACCGGGCTTTCTCACTATAGCGGACCAGCCCGCGGCTTCCATATAAACAGCCCTTAAGAGGCAACATTGTTACACTACTAACTCTTGACGAAGGACCTTCGCTCGAAACGTCGAGTTTCTGCTTGTTTGTTTCAGGTAGTAATATAACCACTCAGCACAGCAATTTCACATTGGTACTAGTACTACCTACACTGGTACAGACAGTTTTAACATTGTTACATCATGCAAACCATTCAATGCTACTGCTGTACTCAAATCTTATAATAATGTTGTTTTTAGACATCAACTCCCTCTACCTTGGTGCATTGCACTACTGGTCAATGGACACTAGCATAACAGATACCTTTGGAAAACCCATGAATGCCTCATTTGTCACTGGAGTGGCAAACAAAGCCATGACGGAATTTGGATGGAGAACATTAACAACGTTCTCGGCATCATTGAACGAGTTTTCGGTATCATTGTGGGTAAAAATCAATGAAGAAGGCTTTTTATTCCGAATGCCACGTTTAAATGTCAGCTACGAGACCAACTCTGGTCTAGAATTATATATAACACCATATGATAAACCCTGTAGCCATTTGCTGCAGTACAAATGGCCGATGAATATATTTCTTCATATCGCTATTGTCAGCCAAGATACTAAACCTTACTTGAAGTTGTATAAGAATGGTAATTTACAGACGCCGTACAACTTTACAGAGAGCAAGTGCCCTGGTGAAGTGGGGAATTTTGTTGATGTGTTCTCAGGCAAGACTTATGATGACTTTGCTATCTGGTCCAAACGGTTCTCTATTTCGGACATATTGTGGATATTTGAAAGATATTGTAAGTCCATTAGTTCCTGACTGACTTATTTTTGTATAATAAATATTTAATTTTGAAAAAGAAGTTTGCCCCAAGAACTACTGGTTACTCATCTGCTTACTTCAAATTAACATACACATAGAAAAAAACCCACATACAACTCGATCAGACAATAATACAGTCGGTATATAGAAGAAAAACACACAAGGAAGTACTGAAAGATAAACTGCGAATAGATTCAGATCTCCTGAGTATGGAAACGTTTAGTTTCTTTTATAAAATTTTGGACTTGGTAAAAGATTGGAAAATTTTCATCCTCAGAAAGTAGTGAGGATCCAAACAAAGAAGCTTTATTATTTGTGAATCAGATAATGCAAGCTATCATATCAATGCTGCTCGCATTGATGGCTTAAGTGCATATTATCTGATTCACAAATAATAAAGCTTTTTTTGTTTGAATCCTCACTACTTTCTGAGGATTTCTATGAACAGCGAAAATCGGACAATGTAAAAAGTAATGATTACTATACAGTAGTTTCGATTTCAAAGCCACTAGTACATCTTGGAGATTACAACCGATTTTAAATAAATAATAATCTAAAGCAAAAGCGTCCAAACGCATTCGACCATGAATGATAGACGAATATCTATCAAGAGAATAATTAAACAGGGTTGGGGTTGGTTGAAGATTAAAAAGGTGTAACATCAAAGGATCAAAGCCATATTTGCATTATTGTAAAGGGCTGTTAGTTAAAGTAAAGTGAAAAGGTGCTAATCCTTTCTTGCAGATGAGGACTGATTTGCGTAGGACGTGGATCAAGTTAATTGAAGGATTACTAGGATGCTTAGTGTATGCATCTGCGGCTAATTAAAGGGAGCGGGAGGGGGGGGGGGGACTAAAAAAGGCTGAGGGCTAAATAATTTAATTTAATCTAATGAATCCAAATTACCGCCAGCAATTGCTGAGTGAAATACGTGTATTTTTTTCTAGCGAAATATAAAACACCAGATGGAAAATACGAACAACAACCTGTGATTTTCAGTATTGATGGCTGGTGGACAGACAATGTTAAGGTTAAAAATTCCACAGATAAAGACGGACTGGTACATGAAGAAATACAGCACAAAATTTATAGTGAGGTATAATGTGTATTTTTCCATCGTGGTGCTACGAAATTTTAGCTAGTACGTTAGGTATTTAGATAGTTGTTGTTTACATTATATAGTTTTCTATATGTACTATTTACAACATTCTCGCCTTCGGCTCGAGTTTCAGTGTATATCCGATACAACACGGACGCGAATGTTGTAAATGGCTTAAAAACGACTCATCTTATGAGTTCATTGGCGAAGTAATTTTAAAAATAAACGTTGTCTAAGCCGAGAAAATCAAAGTTAAAGTTTATGTAAATCAACATGAATCTGTATCACATATACAGACTCCTTCACGC